AAATTACTTAAAGAGTTAAATTTTAAATTTTATTTAGTTTAATTAAAATTTAAAAATTTACTCAAAATTTTAAAATAAATTTACTCAAAATTTTAAAATAAATTTAATAACGTAACGTGAGATTTTACCTTCCTTTTCGCGCAGGATTCACACTTGCTTCTCTGTCTTTCCTCAGATATTTTTCTCTGCCTCGGGATTCCTTTCACTCTTGTCAATACCAGGGGCGGAGGGTCTGGAGATTAGAGCTCACCTCAACGTGAAATGTCTCCTGGATATTTATGGTGTAGTGGTTAAAAAAAACAATAAATTTACTAAATATTTGTTCTATAATAATTTAAATAAAACAAGTATTTATTGTACTGAAAATAGAGCATATATACCAAAATTAAAATTAAGATCTTGATTTTAATCCTTACAAATCTCCCTCTCTCAAATTTCTCCATATTCAGAAAAAAAAAATAAGAAAATTAATATGAAAGAATATCAAAGGAAAAAACAAGAATAAAATAGAAGATCTAAATGTTATGCATGCAAATTTAATAGATAAAATTGAAGAAAATAATAATGATAATTAAATTAAACCAAGCAAATTATAAATAGCAACAGATTTAATTACAAACTCAATTCTTTGGAGCCATAACCGTTGTCCTAAAAGAAAAACCAATTTCATATATGATCACTTACAGTTAATCAGTCATATGTATATTTAGTTAAAATATCCAAAAGAAAAACTCATAAAATTTGTTAAATAACCACAAATTAATTAGGTAAAAGCATATTTAAAGATAAAGAAGCTAACAATTGCTAAAAGAGAATTTCAGAATGAAGAGATATTGGAGATTTTGAATAAAGTCAAGCTCTCGCAAAAATAAATAAATAAAATTTTTCATTTAATATATATAGTTTAAAGATAACATAAGCATATAGAATTAACATAAAAGATCTAAATAGACAATATACTTATAAATTCAATAAAAGAAATTAAAGAAAATGAACACTTACAATTAAATTCGTTAGACCAAATAAATTAGAAGCAGCAACAGACCTACGAACCCAATTGCAAGCCAAACAGTGTCTGATTATAAGAAAAGGCGAGCGAACAAAGGAGAAGAGCAAACTTAAAGAAGTGATTAGCTGTATATTTCCTGGAAGATGCTTGGCGATATGACTGTGAAACGGATATATATGTGAAGTGATTCAAGAAGGTACAGGTAGTGTAAGGGAGTTACAATATATATATATATATATATATATATGCAAGTTGTAGCCAATTACAATAGAGATGCAGAGCTCATCTTTTCTCTAAAATGCTTTGCACGTGTGTGAACGTGAGATTGTCTTTTACTAAGTCTTAATAAATTTTAAACTTCATAGGGCTTGAATTTGTTGAAAATAATAATATTTTAATTAAAGCAAGTTGAAGCCAATTACAATAGAGACATAGGAGCACATCTTTTTTTTAGATGCTTTGCACATGTTTGAACAAAGGAGAAGAGCAAACTTTTTTTTTTTTGAACAAGGGAAAATGTGCATGTAAAAGAAGTAGGATATGAGATTTAAATTCAAATTATTATGTCTATTACATCTATTTAAGAAGGTGATTACTATATCATCAAGAGTTGGACAAGGAAAAGAGCAAACTTAAAGAAGTGATTAGCTGTATATTTCATTAATTATTAATTTATAATTATAATTTATTAA